GAGAGAGAGAGAGAGAGAGAGAGAGAGAGAGAGAGAGTAGTTCTTCTCCTTCCTCTTCTCAGTCCACCATCTCCCCCTCACCCTCTCGCTGCCTGACTTCACTGCATCAGCAGACTACGAGAGAGAGGGATTGGTGACATTTGGATCCAGACTCGACATTGGGCTTCAGACATTTGACGAGGGATTATCTGGGACTTGTACCGAAGATTTGGTGTTGACGACATTCCCGTCTCCCCCCTCTTCTTCATCTGATCCCCTCCTCTTCGTCTGTGTATGGTCTGGACCTGGCTCATTCTTTCTATGTGTAGCGCCAGGGCCCTTCACACCTTATGATGAGGATGATGTATGCTTGGTCTGGATTGCGACATTGATTGGGCTAGTCCTTGGTATTCTAGTATTCCGCTACGCTGTCTGGTGCTACGTGAGAGAGGTCAGTCCCGGTCAGGTCAGGGCTTATATCTAAGTCTTCCACTGCGCTACAAAGTGCCATTTTGTATGTATCAGGATGTACACTGCTTGTTGAGATTCCATTAACACTGCGTTGTCCATTCAGTCCTTTTCATCATCACCTTGCGGATCCTTGGTTGTACATACATTGCCCAACTGGGTATGTAACAGGTGGTGATCGCTGGGTCGTGCTTACCCAGTTGTCTTGTCTGCTATTTTTCTGTGTGTTTCATTTTTCCCAGTTTTCTTCTCTGTTCCTGGATTTGTGTGGTCTGTGATAGTGTCGTTTCAGATTTGGTGCTTGCCATTCTGGGCCCGGCCTTGTTGCATCAGAAGGTAGGCCTGGACGCTAGTCCAGGACTTGAGCCTGCATCTTCAATCGTAGTTCAGATCTGACGACCCCAGATCCGGGTCAGTGGGATCTGTGGTAGGTCCAGCAGTATATAGCTGGGACAGCACCCAGTTGAGGTGCACAGAGTTAGAGCTTCACTTTGAGACCATCTGCAGGAGAGCAGTGCTGGAGACATGATTAGCACATAGAGGAGTGCTAGAGTGAAGGAGTTAGGAGGAGGCATTGGGCGAGAGTGGAGGTTTGCAGCGGCATGGGCAGAGGAGCACTCATCTTGGCACCATAGCTGGGAGACTACGCCGGCTGTGGCCAGGCACCACTCCACGATCTGTGGCAGTTCAAGGCGGTACCTTTCAGTGTTCACTACCACACACACACACACACACACACACACACACACACACACACACA